TGCAGCATCCGTAAAGGTTTGTCACTGGTTTTGGGAACAGTCACAAAAGTTAGGGGCCAAGCCCACCCTTCCCAGTAGAACAAGTGGAAGTGGGGAGCACACAAAAAATTATACCCCCCCCCCCCCCCCCCCCCAAAGTCTAATTTTGGGGTACTCACTCTTTATTGCGCATAGTGCGCGCCATACCTAATTTAATTGGCGTCCCATACTCGATTTCTTTTTTGCTCACCTAAAAATCACGTCGGCGGTGGCGCTAGATAGAGAGAGAGAGAGAAAAAAATTGTAAGCTAAAATAAAAAGATGGCGGCCCCCATGCCCCAGAAGAAGTTTTACCGTCAAAGAGCGCATTCAAACCCCATTGCTGATCATACTTTTGAATAGTAAGGGTTAACGCTTTATAAATAGTTATGCCTACTTAAAATTACAAATTGTATTCTATTTTAATATATTTAGGCCTAAACCTAGGTCCTAGCCTAGCCTAGGCCTAAGTTCCACCCAGGCTAGGCCTAGGCCCTAGCTCCTCGCTCATGGAACCTACCAAGGCTAGATAGGCTTGGTAGGGCTAGGCCTAGCCCCGGTAGGCGCCCCTAGCTAGCTTGGCCTAGTTAGATAGCTTGGCTAGTTAGACTCTTATAAGCATGGGGCCTAGCTAGATTAACTATAAAAATAGCTAGGCCTAGCCTACCATACCACTTTCTAGGTAGGCCTAGGCCCTAGGTCTAGGCCTGAATAATAGTTAATACCTGGGCGCGGCCAGGCTAGCAGGAGCACACAAAAAATTATATCCTTTGACTTCAAATATAGTTCCAGATTGTATAATAATAGTAAGGCCTGCACGGGGAATATATCCTCTAGCTGCACAAAAAATTTGGCCTAGAAATCCGTCCGCGCATTTCCGAAAATTAGTGCCGATTTCTGCCTAGATATTTCCGAAAATTAGGCTTTGACCAAATCTTAATATATAACCAATGCAATTATGCAAAATTTTAGCAGATTCTTGAGATATCCTCTGTACAATTAAAAAACTTTACAGTGTGGTTCACATTAATTCAATGGAAAGAACACATTGATGTGAGTAATCTCCTGTTTAGATGACAAAAAAAAGGCCAAAAGTTGGAGACCTAAAAACGCAGTTTTTTAGTGGGAATGTTATTCGTGCTCAGTGGTGTAACGTCTATGCGCTCTTGTGCGGCGGTCCACCGACCCTTAGGTGCCCATACTCATGAGGGTCCTCGCTCTGCACTCTGATCCAAAAGGGCTTTGTTAATACATAATTGCATAATGTCTCTGACATCGACCACCCTACATTATTATCAAAAAAATGTGATAAAATATTCAAATTTTAAGTCTCAATGAGTGCCATTTCCGGGCATCTAGAGGTGCCATAGGCCTAATCATAATTTGCTTTGCAACTCCACAATATAGAATAGACTATAGGTCCTTGATAAGTCCCATGCAACGCCCATGAGGGGAGGGGTGTCAAAGGGAGGAAGAGCATAGCTCCTGCCAGGAGGAAGTCAATAATTTTGTCGAGGAACACTGCTTTCAAAAAGCATTTCAAGGCAATTTAAAACTTGTTCACTGACCCTTAGAGGCCCCCTTTGGTTTCCCTACCCATAGCACCCTGATCCAAAAAGGCTTTGTTGATACATTGCAGCATAATGCGTCAATGACATCGACTGTAGCCAGGACCCCCTACATTTGTAAACGTTTTTTTTTAAATGGAGATAAAATATTCAAATTTTAAGTCTGACTGAGTGCCATTACTGGGCATCTGGAGGTGCCATAATCATAATTTTCTTTGTGACTCCCAGTATAGAATAGTAGTAGGTCCTTGATTAGGCTTTTGCGGTTGGGGTGTGTAAGGGAAGGGGAGCATAGCTGTTTCAATCTTCTACTTATCAATTTTTTAGAGAAAAATCACACTGTGGGGAGGCTATGCTTGTAATGTGCAGTGTAGGAGCAGCATTTCTAGTTTATGTTCATATTTGTTTGCATTCTTGTATTCCACACAGTCCAGTATGTCCAGATGCAATGGATTGGTCAGTGTATTACCCATCATATTTTGACCCTAAATCTGTTGTGAAGAAAGAAGTTGAATTTCTTGATGTTGGATGCGGCTATGGTGGACTACTTGGTATGCTTGTTTTTTTTTGTTTTTTTTAAAAATATTTCAAGAGAGTAACTTGTAATTTGTGTAAAGCTTCATCAAATCCCACTCCTTCACAACTCAATGCATGCCTTCCAGATTCTGCAAGTTGTTAGATTTTCTTATCACTGCTACCTGTTTTGATTTGAAAGGCATAAGCCAAGACTTTTTGTATACCTTGTTTTGCAAACTTATTTCTTTTTTCAATGTAAATAAAGAGTAAATGCTTTAAATTAAATAATTAGGAAGAAATACATATCTTATTTTTAGGAGATTTCAAGGCAGGCGCAATAAAAATAAAGAAATTTCTGAAATTTTCCATTTTTTTTTTGTGGCAGCAGGTGCGCTAATTGGCCAGATCATCAAATTATTATTATTATTGGCAGGCCGTGGTTTTGCTAACAAGGTACAAAAGGTCTCTCCAACACAGCAGTGAGTTTTTTCATATATCGGCAATTGTGGAGATGTAGCTTGCATTCCAATCTCAGGTTCCTGGGAAATACTGTGACTGCACATTGCCTCATTTGAACTTATCATTGTTAGAGATGTGCAGCAATTATGCAAAAATCTACCGATGCTATAATAAGTTCTGTAAGCCTAGAGCGCAACATTAATTTTTTCACCGTTGCCTGTGGCACTATAGGATATCTCAAAACTATTTGCAAATGGGAGTGTGAAAGGGTATAAGTTTATGAAGCAACTTCAAGTTTAAAACATAAAAAAAATTATAATTATAGTGTATACCAACATCTTTTCTCACATTCTTGCAGATAAGGTACATTGTGTTATTCCGAGCTTTTTTCTATCCCGTCTAAAATCTTGAAGGTCAACATTATATGGCAAAGACAGCCAGACCAGTCAAAATGGGGAAAATAACAGCATACCATGATGTATGTTAGTTTAGTCCAATGAAATAGATTTCAAGCTTTTTCACATTGCAGCATGTTCTGGCCATTACCTCTGAAACACGATTGGCCACATATTAAGTTAAATTAATCAATCAATTGACGAGGATATATTAACAACTCTTTAAACAATTTCATCATAAACATGTCACCAGGATCAATTTCCTACCAAATTAAATATTTGCAATGCCTCAATGACACTTGGTAGTCATTGAAATGGAGCTTTCTGGAATGTCAGTATTACTGCTAAACACATGTGTGTGGGACCTTAACAACTAATGTTGATGTAGGAATGGTAAAATGGGAAAAAAATTATCACTTTAAAAAACAGTTATACCATAACCTGTGTATAAGACAATCCCAGGGCTGTAAAAATTTAATTTCTTTTTTTGCTGGACCAAGGTCTAGTTGCTGAAGTAACAGTCAGCTATTGAATATTGGTCTAGTTTTAATGTATTTTTTGCTAGCCCAGCCCTAAAATAATCAACCCCCTGAAGTTTGAGAAGATTTTTAGACGATTTTTGTATGTCGGGCGTATAAGACGACCCCGTTTCATTTCACCATCTAAAATCATACTTTTTGCTGCTCTTTATGGTTTTGATACTGCATAATGCCAAATGTAGGGCTAATCTTCAAAATAATACCATTTTTGGGCCTTTTAAATATGAAGCAAAGTTTCTCATTTGCCAGTATTTAAAATTTTGTTCATTCGTACTAACAGTTATTAAGTTCTACGGCCAGACACCAACCCTGTACTGTATTTCAGGAGTGTGATTTAGGAATTCATGTTCTTATACCCTATGTGGTTAAGCAGTGTCTGATAAGGTGGGCACATTATTTATCGGCTTAAGCTTGTAAATACGTACAGTTTCTGAACATGAAAAAAGTAAGAGATGAGTGTACATGTCTATGGAATACAGTTGAAATAAAGACACCCATGTTCCTTTGTTCACAGTTGCATTATCTACAATGTTTCCAGAAAAGTTAATGCTTGGGATGGAAATTCGTGTAAAAGTTGCAGATTATGTAAAGGACCGTATTACAGCTTTACGTCAAAACCATCCAGGGCTGTACCAGAATGTTGCATGCTGCAGATGCAATGCAATGAAGTATCTTCCTAATTTTTTCAAAAAGGGACAGGTAATGAGATGTTTGTTTATGCTTACTTTGACACTTGAAAACTTGTCCCACTTATTAAAATTCGAGGGGTACATTACAAAAGAATAGGATTGTTAGTGATTACTTGTCAAATGTACTTCTGTTATCTATTAGATTTCCATTCACTTTTTTTTCCAGATTCAGAAAATGTTTTTCCTGTTTCCAGATCCACACTTCAAGAAAACAAAACACAAGTGGAGAATCATCAGTCCAACATTGTTATCAGAATATGCATACATTCTTGCTGAAGGAGTAAGGTTGTCAGATATTTTGTATGAAGTATATTATTTAACATTAAATATGAGGTAGGAGCAGTTATTATAGTGGTTGGCTCTCAACCACTACCCTGCAGTAGTATAATATTGGTAGGTAATGCCTTGTTCCTTATCTACTTCCTTCCAAAACAGTTGATGATCTTGCATTTCCAGCAATGTAATGGAAGTTGCAATTAATCACACATCATATATTTGAAAACATTTCCTTCAAGACAACAAAAGAAGACTATTTCTTCCCTCTCTCTTCTCTTCCAACACTATATGCTATTTATTTCTGTTCAGGTTATGAATTTCATCCAATAATATATTTATTCTTTTGGCAGGCCACAATCTATACCATTACAGATGTTGTAGGAGTTCATGAATGGATGGTAACGCATTTCACGGAACACCCATTTTTTGAGAGAATGACGGAAGAAGAATTGGTATGAACACAATCTATAGAGTTTCAGATTAGTTTTTGTAAATCAGGTTGATTTAAGGCAATCTTTTCACACTACCTTTTATAGGTTTTTAAGAAATCATGGTCTTGGATGTGAATGCATTTTTTTAAACTTTTGAATTTTATATACTTTTCTGCTTCAGGCAAAAGACCCTGTCGTTGATAAAGTAGAATCAAGCACAGAAGAAGGGAAAAAAGTTGAGAGGAATTCTGGAAGCAAGCACATGGCAGTATTCCGCCGAGTACCAGATCCTTACACAAATGCTTAGGTTTCAGATCCTTAGGTTTAAATGTGTCATCCATTCAATGTTTTCGGAATACTGTACTACTTATGTTTATATAGAGTTAACCTCAGTAAACACATACTAAACTGTATATTATGTAATGTTTTTTTCCTTTTCGCTTGTAAACACAGCAAATGAGATTCACCATTACTCCTCATAATTTTCATTCTTCTTCAAAATGACAAAACCCTCAACAATTGGTGTATATGGTATATCTGAATGAAAAGTTGAAGAAAACAGCATTTAAAGTCTCCAATAACATTTAAGGATTGAATATATGATATATGAGTAACAATCACAATAAAAAGGATACATTCTTCAGTAGCTAATTCGGCTCGTTCTCCTTGGGCCAGTAGGACTGGTGTAGTGTGTGTCTGAAAGCCGGTGATAGTTTTTGGTCTACCAGCTTGGCCTACCACATCAACAGCCTACATCAGAAAGAAAAAAATCTGCCATTTACTATGTACAATGACTCCTGAACATCACCAAAAATCAAAAGTACATAAACTGTAATATATGACAATGTTCCTCAACAGTCGACAAGATATCGATTTTCATCAAAATTACCTGGCCAACACGGACTGGAACTGGTAGAGGCTGCAAGTCCTTATCAAATGTGACCAACATTCTTGGTTTCATTGCTGAAACCAATCCATACAGCAGATACGAAGACTTGCCAAGAATAGCTGTTAATAGAAAAAAACCCAACATTCTAAAATGCATTAAATACAAATTAATGTAAAAATTTTTGTAATAAAGAAACTATCACAGAATTCACAGGGATCTAGGCCCGTTGCTACCTGGCCCTCTGCCACCACAGTAATGGTATAGCATAATTCAAGGGCATTTCATTTGGTATTTTTGTCTCCATTCCAACCATGTACATTAAGGGATGAATGGATTGAATTTCTTTTGCAAATTTTGAAGAAAGAATTGTTGGTTATGCAGTATAGGCAAAGGATGATGAAATACACAATATAGTATAAACTAAACATAACAGTAATTGTTTGGTTTGCTGTTTAAAAAAGCCTTTGAAAAATGTTATTATTTTAGGTGGGTCTGCATTGTTATACAATTCATGAGATTGCACAACCTAATAACACTATTTTTGAAAATACTGCTATAGAATGATGATAGGCTATAAAATATATATTAAATAGTGGACTTATTAATATAAAAATGACTTGAAATTGAGAGTGACAAAGAAGAAAAAAAAGGGTAAATATGCAAGAAATGTTGAAATATAAGAATATAAATGAAACGACAAAAGACTTCACATGACAATTGTGCAATAGTAAATCCCAAAAATAAACAAAGACACACACATGCGGGAAAAAACTAATAAATTATAATATGATATTGAGGAATAATAATGATAAAATTCAACTAGTAGTATTTTTATAAGAATTTTTTTAATTTTTATTTACAATAAGATTTATTTGTTGTTTGTACTGCCTAGCAAAATTAATGATGCTGTTTTTCATGAGGAAACCTGCTTTGTAATAAATCATCCTTAAAGCCAGGATTCAGAAGAAAAATATTTTTTGATATGTTGTAAAACTGATTTTTCTATAAAAGGCAACAAGCTTGTTTGACTAAAAACTGGTAAACAGCTCATGAGTAAACTTCACCATTTACCAAATTTTCAATTTTTGAACCAGGTTTTGCTGATCTCTTCTTATCTCTATTTAATTACTGCTTCAGGAAATTTTGTAACAAGATTAACAGTGAAGCTCATTAGTTAAGAATAGTTCATAAGAAGACTAGCACAATTAACTCAAAAACCATGTTGTAACTTCTAACATAAGTTATTGATTTTTAAAATTCAAAAGCATATCTATTATGATTTTTATCTGAAATTATAGCTCAGGTAATAAAAATGCCAAATTTTTTTAAACAGGTTTTTAAAATTTTCAAGCCAGGTTTTTAAATACTATACTGGTAATTTATTGAGAAACAGCATTGCCTGCTGTGATAATGACTCTAAGTAGAGGTATTCTTCTTTGATGTTTAATTGGATTATTGAGATAAGATTCTGGCAAAACCTGGTGCACCAACCTGCCTGAATGCCCTTTTAAAGGGTTTGCTGGTATATGGGATAGTTACAGCATGCTGGAATAGTTATGAGGAAGTCTTTTTATTTTATTATTTGTTATTTTGCTAAAGCCAAATATCACCCTTGGGTTACTTGTTAGTGCATTGATATTCATATAAAGCATGAACAATAGCTACTAAGTATTTAAAAAAAAATTTTCACATTTTTTTTTCTTTCAGTCATCATCGAAGACATGTGTGCGAGATAACAAACTAATAATTTTTTTTATTGGGCCTAACCCAGGTTGTTCCAAGTGATTTTTAACTAGTCTGCCTGAGATTGGTACAGCATTTGGAATGTCACAGCATGGAGGTATTATTGAGAAGGAGATCACTCGGCAACAGATCCTTTTGACGCTACAAACCTACGTGTTCCCCGCCTTTGGATCGCGCGGGGCGTATTACCCTATAATTCACATTTGTTCGTTAGCAACAACTTGGCAACGACATGCATTTATACGCTTCCAGCAGAGCAGTTGTGCAATAAAGCGTTTGATTTTAACCCATTAAATATCTTTATAATGAACAATGTTCCCCTGATTAGATTTTTTTCGGACTTTTAGTATGTTATTATTTGTATATTTCAGGAACGGATTCCGTAAAATATTTATGTTAAAATTACTTCTGTGTCCATTATAATTCTGTCTAAAGATTGATTGGTTCGACTATAAAGCTAAGTCAGCGTAAAACTGAAAAATACTCAGATTTTCGATTGATTTTTCGAATAGTTAACCCTCGTTAACCCTAAAATGACATAGTTTATTATAATCCTCAATTATTTATTAATTAATATCTGTTAAAATTAGAATTAGCGAAGTTGAAATATACTATACTTTTAAAAGTCATGTAAATATTCCATTAAAGTGGAAAATATAAATATGTTTGATATTTTATGAGAGATAAATGTATCAGCTTCAAAATGGAAACAATTGCGCAGCCATAGTGATTGACTGTATGTAGTGCGCAATTGTTTTTGCTATGCTCATGATTTTAATTACAGAGAGTGCATACTTTGCTGTCAAAAGTAAGAGTGTAGGACAAAGCTTTACGATAAATGTCACAATCCAATTTGCCCAAGTTATTTTGCCAATTCATTTTTCCCTTAAATAGAGCACAATTTATCTGGTATGTCAATCTTGACATCATCTCTCCAATTACTCATATTTATTACCTAACCCAATATATAAAGCAATAATATTACCCCTAAATTTTTCTTTAATCGGCCTAATCCCATGTAATATTTCCAGTCTGAGAATGCTATTGGCAGGCATTTAAACATGCTGCATCCTTAATTTTTGTTTGATGCGAATACTTATTTTATGTACTTGTGTTCTCTCGACATTGTGGCTAGGAGTTTTGAACGTTCACTGATTTTTTTGCTTGTGTTCTTGGGCAAGGCCAGGGGTAATAATAACATCGCCAGCACCTCCCTTGGAAAAAGGCACGCTAAAAATACCTATAATTTTTATTATGATGGAGATTTTTATTACGATTACATTTTACAATTACTATTTATTAGTCCTGCTCTTTTAAACATAAGATTAGAAGAGTTGGCTAAACTTGATCTGTATTAATGGATATCATTCATTTATAATAATTTTTTTTTAATGTTATTTTGTGAATGCACCAATCTCTATTCAGTGCTTCTGATTTAAAGGGTTATGCTCAATTATTATTATAGTAACATATATTTTGTCCCATGACAGGGGTATAATACTTGTCCCATGTAAAATTGGGATCATAAACTGCACTGTTTTAAAAATTGTTTTGTACAAAAAACAACACATTTAGTCCTACTTCAAGTGGCATATGTCAATGGGGACCCACCATTGGATAGGATATGGTTGCTGCTTAAACCAAAACAATGGCATCAATGTTGTTTCCAGCACTAATGCCAAATTCATTCATAATTTATTCCACTATTTCCAAAATCAAAATTTATCCAAATACCCAACCAAGGCAAGCTTTTATTCCAACATTTTAAAAATTGTCTGACACACAGCAATCGAAAATGTTGCTATTGCATAGGAGCCATAATTATGAAGGTAAAAATATTTATATGAAAACTTACTATTCTTGACATCTAAAGCCGACGTGATTGTTACAAGAAGACCTGCAGTAGCCACTTGACTTAAGAGCTGACGATCACTGTGATATGGTGACATGGTCAAAGTGCCTTTACCTAAATGTGTCAAACCTTGAGCGATGCGAACCATAAATAGATTGTTGGGATCTTTAGCATGGAACTGTGCAAGTTGTCGTAGCATTGCTGCAAGCCGTGCATTGTTTGTACCTATCATGAAAATAAACAAGTTCAAGCCACCAATATGGTGTAATTATTACTGTAATCATTTATAAAGATATGCTTATATCTTCATTGTGTTATTTATTCATTTGAACACTGTATACAATGTATTTAAAACCCTGTTTCTTAAAGTGTTTCATTCAGTGGTGGACTGTCAAGGCAAGCAAGGTATGCAGTGCATACCCTGGCTAAAAAAAAAAAAAAAAAAAGATATAGTAAAAAAAAATTACTGTAGTTTCTCCATTTTATTTAGCATTTCTTAACCTCAATCTTCTATACAAACCTTAATTTTGCCAGTGGATTGTTACATTTGGAACAGCAAAGTTTTTCAATACCTACTTTGGTATCTAGGATAAGGAAAAACGGTCATCGGCTACATAACCCCCATCAAAGTAATTTTTGGGCCTAGTATTTTTTTTTCTACTGAATGCACGTCATGTGATGTGTCCAGCCAGACTCGGCCATGTTATATTGGTGGCGAGTACAATTTTATGGGCAAATTTTTACAGCTGTTATTGGGAAAATAATAATATTTTTTAATAGCCAATTTTTTGCATCTTGTGTTCATAAATGCTCAAAGCTGAGGTGATTTTACTACAGCACATTGCGATGGAATATTTCGTTGCTAGGCCAAGCTAACCAATGTCGCCGTACAGCACTTGTTAACACGAATGAAACCTAGGCATGACCTAGATAGGCATCATGGTTATGAGATAACAAGGTGATTGACTTTTAAGGACTGAAAAATTAAGGCAACGCTGATATAATTTATAATAAAGTTTGAGTACACTATAGGAAAAAAAGCTGAAGGAGCAATTATTTCCTGACACAAGAACCCTGCGGGTGTTTACGTTCCTTTGTACGTAAAAACTAAACACAAATTTGTTGTCACCAGTCATTCATTGCCTTCCATGAAATTTGAAACTAATCGGACTTGCCAAATTTTGGTTATCGTGGTATGGTAACAACTAACAAAGTGTCTGATCCACCGCCATTGTCGTCGTCATTTCTGATTTTAAACTAAACAAATTTAAATACTTATACTGTACTTTTTAAATCCACAACAGAGCCCACACATCGAAGAAGAATGAAGAACCATGTAGTACAGTAATAGTATGGTATTAGTACACACACACTCACTCCGAGGCTAGGCCGGATGACAGAAAGCCCTGTCCTTCCTAGGCCTGATGTTAGGGCTATGCTGTATAATTATTCACCAAGCTTGAAGGACAATTTCTCTAAATTCAGAAGTTATGATTTAAATTCTGTACTTAGCCTTTTCTATGGCCTTTTATAATCAAACTGCTGGTTGTAGAGCGGTTGCTATAGGCCTTATATCATAAATCCATCAAAGTGCAGGTTGCTCAGTGATCACTCTGCGTGCATTTGCTGCGTGTATTGGAATAATTTCTTAGTAGTACAAAGTAGTACAGGCACTGACACTCTTCACACAAATCTTCGCGATACGGAGATGAATTGATTGTGGTTAATGAAGTTTATTAGGGGTTATTGGGTAGGCCTACGTCCTGGTAGTCATTAAAATGTATTGTAAAATTTATTATAAATTATATCAGCATTGCCTTAATTTTTCAGTCCTTAAAAGTCAATCTTGTTATCTCAACCATTATGCCTATCTAGGTCATGCTTAGGTTTCATTCGTGTTAACAAGTGCTGTACAGCGACATTGGTTAGGTTGGCTGGTTTGTTTCTTCATAGCTTGGCCTGGCAACAAAATATTCCATCGCAATGTACTGTAGTAAAATCACCTCAGCTTTGAGCATTTATGAACACAAGACGCAAAAAATCACAGGGACTATATCGATAAAGTGATCAGTCTTGAATAGGAAAATTTAGTGCAAATAAAAGTGACGACTTCACCACTGACTTTTAATGAAATTTAGTGTATGATCATTCTATTTCGATGATATGCCTAGAGGGTTATTAAATTTACACCTATGTCTGAATAATGTATTAGTTAGCAAATTACCGCATTTCATTTATTGCAAGTTGGGTGAAACTGGTGATTTGTAAATGAAAACTGTTGATTGTTAGCATACAGATACGAACATTTATTTATTAATCAACAGGTTCAGTATTCTTAATCCAAATGTTATCAAACAATAAGATTAATATTCAGCTTACCAGCTCCTACAATTCCCATAGCAAATATTGCATTGTGTGAAACTTCTTGGTCCGTATCATGGGAAAATTTACTAAGTGTGTCGAGAATCTGAAGCTCTGGATTGGACACAGATATAAGAGCCAAAGCAAGGGGAACTGCACGACGAATAACAGGCTCGCCATAACGCAGCTAAATAAGAGGGATAAAAACAGCTAATTATGTAAAGGAATAATATGATAAAAGTATTTTTTAGAATAATGATTTATTTAAAAATGAATAGTATACCACAATAATTCTAACAATAATAATAACTGTAACAATAATAATAAAATCAATTAAACAACAATAATAATAACAAAAACGATATTAAGACAGCACTTATTTAGGCAAGACTTTTTTTATACCTCGTTCCGCCTTAGCGTGTTATTCCAAGGCGTATTGATTTTTGACGAAAAGAGTATTATTTCTTATTTTTGATTTGTTGGAAATGAAAAAAAGTGAGATTTTATTTTACAATTCAGTTAGTCAAAATGTATTACAGTGTGAAATTACATTAGTTTAGTTAAATTGCAAATGATAAATTAATTTACTTTTACAAAAACAGTAATTCTATTTTTATTCCCTTACCTTTATTTCTATTCCAATTTCCTTTTCCTTTCTCCACCTTTTCCTTCCATTTCACATTCTCCCTTATCTTTTTTTGCTTTCTTTCCTTATATTTTCATTCCTTTCAGGTTAATTACCTTTTTTTCTTTCCCTAATCTTTTTTTTACATTTTTCCTTTTAAATATATCCCTTCTTTACTTATCTATTTATTTCTTCCAAACCAACAGCAAATCATTGTCAGTAACAGACTGGTATAAAAATCTTATAATATATTAATTATATAATAATATTTCAATACTTTTTTAGAGCAACCTGTTTAAGTATAGTTTTACGCTAATCAAATGCTAATTCTAAGAGATTTTTAGGAGTATTATACCTTTATTATCAAGTACCAATAAGCATTGCAGGGCAAAACATGGTTGGTTTTCCAGGTAAGGATGGTAGACAGGCTGCACACATAGGTTTTTAAAGTTATTTTTGTTGGCCACAACATAACTGCTGTTAGGCCGTACATAGCTAGTGGGCCGCAATTTGCCCACTTGTGGCCTAGGGCTACATCAAAACAAACAGCATGTGATAAAGCAAAGTGGAATCCTTTCAAATTATATTGTTATAGCATATAGGTACAATACCTGATATACATTATGTATTAAATTTAGGTATGTAAAATGCCTCAATGGCTTAAGTTTGTTGAATGAACCTAATGCAATATGTACTACATTATCATTATGACAGTATCATATTGAGGCTCAAACTTGAGGTCAGTGTTTTAGCCCTACACATACAATCTTGAAATTTGAATGCAAGCACCTACACTCTACACTAGCACATCCCTTACAAAATTTAACAATTCAAACACTTGTGATATATCTTGTCAAAACTTACCAAATGTCCAAGTGATCTTAATGCCATTTGACCACCAATCTCTTCTCCCATAGCAATTAGAGCAATTCCTAGCACTGCTACACCCTGGTGGGCTGCCAACTCACTAGTGGTGTCATCACTCTTTTTATCTTTCTCTTTCTTCTCTTTCTCCTTGGTCTTCTCTGCTTCAATATGTTCACTACAAATGTGCAGGAGTTGTTGAACCTTTAAAACATTACCAGTCCCTTGAAATAATAAAAGAAAACAATGGTCAATGAACATATTCAGGAAACATCAGACAACAGTACTATCTACACCCAAGTTCAGTACTCTTTTGAATGAGATGTCTATGTATTCACCATGAATAATTGTGTCTAAGCAGAATGCATTTTATTTCTCATTAACAGGGGCAGATTTAGGGAGGGGGAAAGGGGGGGGGATACATGGCATCCAGTTTTCCACTGCCGTTTTTTAATTTTTGAACAGAAAAACAATACAAAATTGCATGCAAATACTAGTATTAAATATTTTGCAACAGCATATTCAGTACTAAACACGAATTACACCATTATAGGATACTTATTTATTTTATCTGTATAATCAGAGGCAACAGAACTAGAGTGTGTGAATGTATCTGAATCTGAAGTGTGTGATAATGTATAAAAAAGCATGGTGAATATAGGTGGGAGTGGGAAAAGATGGGATAGACAAAATGAAGTTGGTTTTTGAGACGAGACATGTGGTAAAACCAGGGAGGGCCACCAGTCATTTTGTACTGAACATTGTAGTTTAAAAGGTATTGGGTGGAATTTTATAAAGATGGTTGTGTAATTTTTATTTGGCCTGATAATAATTACAATGTTTGCTGCATAAATTGAACAGGAAAGCTTTAGTATTAAACAATCCCTCACACTACGAATTGTAGACTTACCACTTGCTTTGACTAGTTAGGTCTGGCCAAAAAATAGTACCTTCCTAATAAGACTGGCCTAAACTATATAGAATAGACCTTAGTAGGATGAGTGAGAAATGACAACAATGGATCAAGTCTAGGCTTTAAGCTGGATGGACATATTACAAACACAACACCACTTCCCAGGATGGCCCAGGTCTCTTGAGTCTAGAGAGAGGCCCTCGCCTTTTTACTAAGTGTTCTACATTAGGCCTAAATCTCTGCCTTAGCCCTGAGCAGGGTTACTATATCAATAAGAGTCATAACGTTGTTTAGCAAGCCAAGAACTAAAGGTACACAAAAGGGAGCTCAGCCTAGGCCTAGTTGACACATCATGCATCTTCTGAATTTGAAAATTACAAATACTGTAATAAACATGAATGAAGTCAGCCACTCAAGTGATTTACAAAATCAGTCATGCATGATATCACACGATGCGTCAAGTCGTACAGATGAATGATCAGTCAGCGTTTGACAAGGCCTACTCAAAAAAAAAAGAAAAAAAAAGAAGAAATCGAGCATGAACGCTAAATGAATTTGGTATGGAGTACCCCAAAAGGCCTGGAACCCAGGCTATATAATTGCATCTCAAAACAAGAGAACAAACAAGAGATACAAGTTTTTTTGTGTATTCCGTGAAATCTCTATACGTAACCATGAGATCAGCATTATAAATCTGTTATTTGATTGTTTTGCACATTTTTGCCGAGGCCATTTTGGGAACATTGTGTCCTACATGAAATTCTGTGGTGCATTCCTCGTTCAAAAATTCTGGATCTGCCCCGAATATAACAGATATGTAACCTCAAAATGCAAATTAGCTAATTTTTTTGATGTGAACAAATTGACCTAGCAGTCAAGTCACAGCAAAAGTTTAGTTAATTACTCTAGAATTCAGATGGTGCCAGGGTTAATTATTGTATTATTATGCTGGAATAAGCTTACCAGCATAGGCACAAACTTCCACCAGGATCTTAGAAAACTGTTTAAAGGGCTCCGGAATGACATCTAAAGCTGCCAGTGTAGCATCTACAGACTCCTGCTTACCTGTAAATGAAGATTGAATATCATAAAAAAAATTATATATTTTTCCTGTGCTTGTACTTTAATTTTACCTTATCTTTGATGAGCTAAATAAACAACAACATTCACACCATTTGACAACAGACTTGACAAATGATGTGAAGACATAAATTTAATACAGAAAGAGTATAATGCAATATAAATACTTGGGTACTTTAATTGAAAAAAAAAAATTGAAATGGGAATCTAACCCTATTATGGTGTCCAAGAAATTATTACAAACAACAGCAGCAGCAGCATACTAAATAATAATACAGTAGAAACCCTCAATAGTAGTTTAGTAGTAGTAGTTAGTAGAAACCCTCAATTACGAACCCCGATTTAATAAATTCCTGATTTTACGAACATAAAATCAAGGTGATGACGCCATAAAAAATGAAGTAAAAATTTTAAAAATCTGCTCAATTTGTAACTGTTATTAGCATGCATAGTACAACACAACTAGGCTAGGCAATCTAGCTCAAAAATGGCCCAAAGTCAAACAAATTGCAAACAATGTTTTTTTTTTTATTTGAATATATATGATGAGGGGATTAAATTCCACAAATCACACCTCGGTCACACCTCGGGAACATATGTAAATAAGCTAAAATATTCAAATTAGGGGTCGAAATATAGGGTACCCATAACTCAGCAACCACTGGTTGTAGAGAGTTAATTTTTATTCAAATAGTTCAGAATATATATGTTTGTATTCCCTCGAACAGAACTTTTTGTCCAAAAAATGACCGGAATGCCGTAATTGCCCTTTGACCTTATTTTCACGAGAAGTCCATATCTCGGCGACTACTGTCCGTAGAGACTTCATTTTAATTTTAAAACTTTTAAAAAATATGTACAAATGAACAAGCAATAAACATCCAGGATTTAGCAAAAATGACACAGCAAACTATTTAAATAATTATACAAGGTAAGTTGAAATATTTTTATACCTTTCCCAAAAATAGAATAGTCCTTAAGTAGCCCCCTATAGTCTTCAAAATGTTTGTTTGCAATGACCAGGAAAAGTTTCACATGTGTTTCAAAATGACTTTCTTAGTTGGAGACAAGACTACCACAGATTTTAAATTGATACTCATTTTATTAGTAAGTTAAGTTAAACATATTTCTGTGATAGAGTGGTACTGTATTGGTTAGAATGAAATTGTGTAAAGATGATATATGTACCAAGCCAGCCTCATGTAGGCATACTGCAGGTGCCAAGCCTGTGCCAAGCATATTTTCAGCATTAACATTTACCGTATTGTCTCTAATAAACGCCCCCTTCTAATAAATGAGTTTTTTTTTTCATTTTGCAATTAGTGCCCAATCAATTAACATGGGTATCCAGTCCATAAAAAGGTTGACAAACAAGGAGTAATACTGTGTGCTACTTTCTTTGATATGAAACGAAATAAATACTACTCAAAAAAGCTTACCCTAAATGTTTGATGTTTACTGTCTTCACGATTACTTGGCCTAGGCCTATTTTGTGTTTCTCTCATGGTATTTCATTAGCCTTGTACAAATAGGGTAAGCAGCAAACTGACGGCAAAACAACGGGTAATCGTGTATTGTGAATGTGTCTCGTGTTCGACGCCAGTATTGATTCAAGGTGTCTGGTCAATGAAGTCTATACCGTAGTGGGAATGTTTCTTCAAGTTGAGGGCATAAAAAATATTTGTCTAAACATGGCCGTTTCATCTTCAAGTTCTGCTACAGAAAAGTACCAGTATACATATAAAATTGAGAGTACTGTTAGAGGATTCCGTGTGTACCAAGAAACCTGGATTCCGAAAATCGGAGAGATTCTACCAACAGTTCATGAGGCTGACAATGTTTTTGACAAGCACGCGATTGCTGTTGTGAAAGGAGAAGTACCGCGCTGCATTGTCGGACATTTACCCCAAGAGAACTCAAAGATATTTCATTTCTTTCTGAAACACAAGGGAATTATTGATGTTCAACAATTTGTATGCCAGGACAGCTCGAATCCATCTTCAAGATATGGCATCTCTCACAGATGAACACCATGATGTCTACAATGCTTTTGCAAATGGTCATCATGTGGTACGTCGTAGTGACAAATATTGGGCAGGTCATTCCTCAGATTTGATTATTGAAAAAACATTGATGAGGAGTTTCAAAAGCAATGGTGGAATGACCAGAGGAAGAGGATGTGTATCCTAGTGCCAACGAACAGTGTGGCTTCTTAGCATGCCAACCAGAGCATACTGGTCAATGCAAATGGAAGACCTTTCTGGCAAAAAATATGAAACATCTGAACAGTATAAAGACATATCAACTGGGCGAATGTCAATAGATCATACAGACGTGATTAAATTTAAAACATTTTTCAAGTGTAACAACCCTTTTGATGAATCTGACAGTGTCCTACGTAACATAACTAACGGTCAAGTAGCCAGTGATGAAGTTAATGTAATTGACACACTTACCATTGGCATCTCTATTCTAGAGTCGATGGACCATACGACTGTGGGAGAATTTTCTTTCAAGAAGAAGGATGCCGTAGTTACTTCGTCTAAGGCTCCAAAAATTAAAATTGATAATGAAGATGTTCAAATAAACCCAGAGTTACTATTTCAATGATTAGTGACAGTAATAACATTGAAAAATTATGATGGTCTGAAGTAAGCCTTGAAAACAGAGATGAGTGTCTTCTCATCTGCTCTGTTTGAATCACAGAGTTTAATGCTACCAGCAAAAAAGTATCTCCTAGGAAAAACTTTGTTGAACATGAACACTGTCAATACTGATGAGGCTTTGGATGATGGTGACATCGAAGATGAAGACGACAACCTGTGTGAGTACTTAATTTTTGTAGTTCCTCTACTTCTCCACTGTTTCCTAGTCCCTTCTCTTTTCCTTGCAATTTGTTTTAATTCCAAAGCAATAAATATTCTGTACCACATTTTACTTTCAGAAAGTGCGTGCGCTAGTGCCTCTGATACAGAACTTCCTGTATATGTAGAAATGGACAATATAACGGGAACAGTTAGTGTACAGTATACAGCACAATACGTTTTTAGGCAAAATCATAGTTTTCTTCACTGGATGATAAAATGTATGTATAGGATGGAGGTGCACTAGTGCATCGCCTCAAATGGCCTAAATCAGCTTCTTACAAAGAATGCTGTAAGATGATCACCAATTACGTTAAGCAAAAATACAATGAAGCAACTATTGTCTTTGATGGCTATGTTGATGAGGGTACAAAAAGTAACACTCATACAAGGCAGAAAAAGGGACGAACAGTGCCGACAATAAAACTTTCTCAGGAAACGCTGCAATCCATACCTTAAGAACATTTCTTATTGAATGCAGACAATAAAGAGTCTTTTATTGGTATGTTAAGAGAAGAGCTCGAGTCTCAGGGATTGTCAACTAAACAATGTGATGGGGATGCTGATCTTTTGATTGTGTCAACTGCAATAGCAATTTCCCAGAAGAGAAGTGTAACAATTGTCGGAGATAATACATACTTTATACTGGTTCTCCTTATCCATTACTGTACGGAGAATTCAAATGTAATGTTCCAACAGACCAAGAGTGAGCGAACATGGGACATCCATGCATTCAAACAGTCAAGCACTGTAAATAATATCCTCTTTTGGCATGCCTTTCTTGGTTGTGACACCACATCTCAGATATTTCAAATTGGAAAGGGATCAACCTTCAAAAAGTATCAAAATGATGAAAGGCAATGAAGCATAGAAATATTCTATAGCCCATCAGCTACCAAGGACGAAGTTGCTAGGTCTGGAGAGCAGGTTTTTTTTGTTTAATCTATGGATCTGAGAATAAGAGCCTAAATGACTTGCGTTACACAAAATTTTGTGAAAAGGTAGCAAAAGCAAAAGGTGCAATATTGTCCAAGAGTCTGCCACCAACATCCGGGGCTGCTAAGCAGCATTCCTACAGAGTATACCATCAGGTAATTCATGACGATGTTGTGTTTTTGTACTATCTTCAAATTTTTTTTCTCAACATTAAAATAAACAGTTGAAATGATACAATGTTAACAATTAAATTAATTATTATTGATTCAGACTTGGCTTGGCAAGCAACCTGATGCAACTGTGTTTGGGGATGGCAGAGAAACAGAAAACATCTTGTACCTATTTTGACAGAAGAACCAACTGCGCCACAAGAGCTTTTATGTGTTACACATCATTAAAATAATGTTTGTTTTTATTAGTATAATAATATATATAACAACTTTTCATAATGTATGTTTGTTAATCTTAAAAAAAACCCCTTTATTTTTTAATTCTCAGATGCAACTGTACACGTGGATGTGAAAGTCGCTCATGTACATGCAGAAAGTTTCAAATTGAATGCACAATAGCCTGTGGTCATGGTAAAGGCATAAGCTGTAGTAATTCTGGATGTCCTGATCTTGAATATTAAAGATTATTCCAATTGTTACTTATGTATAGGTTTAAATGAACTTTAAGAAATCTTGAATTACGAGTCAAAAAAGGTTAAATATAGTATTTTTGTTTATTTTTTTTTAATCGCAGGTCTCTACTACCCTACTATGTTCAGCCCTAATTTGCATATTTCAACTCATTTACATGTAAAGTGAGCAGGTGGCCGGGGTGTGATTTCTTAAATTATTTTCTTATATATTTAGTTTACTTTTTATAAAGTTTTGGGACTAAAATGAAGTCTCTACGGACAGTAATCGCGGATATATCGACTTCTCGTGAAATTTTTTTGTAATTTTTGGACAAAAAGTTCCATTAGGGGGAATACAAACATACATATTTTGAACAATTTGCAAAAAAAAGTAACTCTCTACAACCAGTGGTTGTAGAGTTATGGATACTCAATAATTTCACCTCTAATTTGCATATTTAAGCTTATTTGCATGTAAAAAGAGCAGGTGGCTGGGGTATGATTTCTAAAATTTTATTCTGTTATGAATGTATCCATTTTTTATAAAGTTTAGAGACTATTAATGAATTCTCTACCAACAGTAGTCCAGCAGTCATGTAAATCCTGTGAAGGATATGAAATTACTGTGAAAATAAGGTCAAAAGTCAATTAAGGCATTTCCGGTCATTTTTGGTAAAAAATTTCCATTGGAGGGAATACAAACATACAACCAGTGGTTGTTGAGTTATGGGTACCCTATATTTTGACCCCTAATTTGCATATGTTCCCGAGGTGTGATTTGTGGAATTCATCCCCTCATCATATGTGGTCAATTAAAAAGAAAAAAACCTTTGTTTGCAATTTGTTTGACTTTAAATGCTAGATTGCCTAGCCTAAACATATCATACTATACAGTAGTATGTAATTCTCAAGTGAAGGATGCCCTCTAACAGGCCTCTTCAAATTCAGTGTTTATTATGGCTTTTTTACATGTGCATGCGACAAATTTTACTTCTCTTTTAATCATCGTTTTCAACATAGTGCTTGATAGTTTTATTGAATGATCAATAAACAAGTATCTATGGAAGTTGTGTTGGAGTAAAATCCACAATCTAGGTATTTAAGAAGGTAAAAACGTCCAATTAAAAACAAATTTGTGTTGGGCCTAGAGTGGGATCAGAATGCTTACAAACTGCCTACTGTAGGCCTAGGCCCCCTCAGACTTAGCTGCGTAGGCCTGTTGGCCTAGTCTAGTTTCTGCCAGTGTAAGTAGTACCAGTGCAAATATACAGGAATTTTGGTCAACCCCGATTTTAAGAATACCCGCAACTACGAACGGCTCTGGGCCCGTGCCATACGTAATTGAGGGGTTCTACTGTAATACTTTATTTGTCCTCATTCAATCGGAAATCGGAAATTTGGGCTACCACAACTATGCTATATTTTCTTAAAAACTAAAAAAAAATTGTTTTATTTTATGGGGCATTGTGTCCCATTTTAATCTTTTTTCTTTATTGTATATTGGTATGTCTGTTCTGATGTCAAGTTTATCAACAATTTTTTTTGTATAAAAGTTCTTCTTGAATCTTGAACGGTCTGGTAATAAACTGATTGAAAAAAAAAATGTTTTCTTTGCTCAAAGAAGTGGGGCTTTAAAAAGCCAGATTAAGTAAGAAGGAGCTGACTGCCACTGTCCAAAATAAATCAGTTGAAATTCCTAAATTATCAAAATTGGCTTATAATTAAAAACCTGATTCTGCTAAATAGAATATCACTCCAAAAATTGATATGGCCATTTTAATTGATGTTTTGTTTTATATAAAAGCAAAACACAAAATAAAGAGACATCAATTTTTGGAGTAAGCTTTATTCTTTTTGTACTGTGCACATGCTAATGGCTACTACCAGCTACAAAACTTACCCAGGTATGCCAACCCAAGGCCTAGGGCTAGAAATCGTGCATAGTTGTCTTTTAACTGCTGCTTGCTCTTCTCCATCATAGTCTGTAGAATTGTAGATGTTACATCTCCATTACAACTTCCTACAGCTATCATACCACATGCTACAGCCGTGACTCCAATTACCTCCATGTTGGACTTAGAATCAGCCATTACTGGAAGTAAACACCCTAGTACTTCTTCACTATTTGAACCTGCATAGGCCAAACCAAGTCTACATAATAAAACAGATTTCTATAGGTTTAAAGAGCATTCCTCTCGAAAATTTATTCTGATTAGTTCTATTTATTTATACGTGTCCATGTTTGTTTACAAAGAGTCACTTAAACTTTAAAATAAAATAAGGCGTAATTTTTTAATTTGAACAAAAATGCACATGATCATGATGAATCAAGCTAGATAATTTTAATCTGTATATTAATTCTGCTAATCGTCACCGTGTAATTTCACCTATCTCCTCTGAAACTGCTGGCAGGAATGTGCTCATATCTCATACACTGGGGCTTCTATATGTCACGACCACATTCCGCTACTTTTCAAGGCTGGATATTGGATAACAAAAAAACCCCCAAAAAACAACCAAAACCCACCGAAAATCAGTACCTGTTTCGCCATGTTTCGCAAGTTGCTTGCTACGTTACGTAAGTACAATTAATCACATCTATCCTGTACTGCAATGCTTAGGTCTAAAAAATATTGAGGCAGGCCGTAACAGAACCAGTTTATGTTTCGCAACTTCATTACGTCACCGCACAGTACTTCTCATGTTCGTCAACAAAATGAGTGACAAGAATGTTCCCATACCTCTTTAGAACACCCATTGCATTAAATACTGGATATTATTGTAGTTTTATGGCTCAAAACAGCACCAATAAATGGCATGTTTTAGAAATCGATCAGGTAAAAATAAAGATATACCTGGACACAAGCCATGATATAACCTCGGCCTAACCATACTGGCTAGCCCTACACAGGCCTAGGCCCTAGGCACATACTTAGGCTCTAGCCTAGGCGCGGCCTAGCCTAGCCTATGATGTCGATGAGAGATACGCCTATACCTATGGGCCTAGGTTCAGGTTTAGTTAGCATACCTAGGGCCTATCCTCTATCTCTGGAATCCAGGTCAATTTGGATAGTGCATTAAGATAGATAGCGACACTAAAGTTTAAGTTTTGGGTCAAGCCAGCTCCACCAATCAAACCTTGAATTTACGTAAACACGCAGGGGCAATGTTTATCTACAGGTTCTTTTTGAATGTCAGTAGTTCGAATACATACAGTAGCCTTACATGCATCCACCTTGATTCAAGAGAAACACTTCTCAAATGCCCAACTAGACTAGGCCTAGTGTATATTGCTTTACTTTCACTTACAAGAGGGTAGCCCAAAACAACAGGGGAAGATCCAGTAGGGGAGAGGGATGTCACAGGGAAGGGCTGCCTGCCCCGTTTTGCCACTAATTATTCGCTACTGTTGTGTGCATTTAGGAGAATTAAATACCATCTGCCATTTATTCTGCCATTCTGTTAACACATCTAGATCTCTCTGAAGCTTACAAGCATCTTCAGGTCCAATAATTTTTGACATATACAGTAGAACACAGTCATTGACGAATAGCTTATTTTTAATGTTAGATGACAATTTCTCTGGTAATCATTAATGAAGATCATAAAATCCCTTGGTCTATTAACAGTTACCCCAAGGTACACTGGACTCAACATCTATTGTCTAAGTTTTACCAGAATCCCAAATTATTATGTAAAACAGTATGTTACTCTACTGTATTATAGATAATATTACATAGACACACCTACTGCACATTACATATTACAACTAGAAAACACACTTCAATTCTATACAAGTTGCTCTAATCTATGGGCTTATCTGACAGGTTCATTTCGTTGACTACGATTTTTCATTGAGTAATATTTTCATTTGACTAGTTCGTAAAATAGACTTGTTGACAACGAAAATTAACGTAAACCAGAGTGCGTTACAATCAGCGTTATCCACATGACCCAAACAAACATGGCCGATTGGTCAGTTTAGCAACAACATTTGCGTTAGTAGAAAATAAAATTCATAATATTTACCCACATGAAGTAAAAAAATAATTGTATGCTAACAGAATTAAAAAACTGGATGAAACATACCTGCCAACATTCGAATATCAAAAATAGGGACACTATTCTTTGGTGCCATGCCCCAACCCCAAACAATTTGTAAGACTATGGTAATTATATATCCTAATTCCTGTACATTAAAGCACTAAAGTTTTGTTGTCATGCTAGCTCGATTCTTGGTCTTGTTTTTTTCAACAATAGAGAAAACTCTCTCACAGTCACTATTGCTATGAAATATTACCGTAGTTCCTCGGGTATAGTCCTACCCCTGACTTTACGCCCAACTCCGCGTACAAGAATTTCCCCGGGTAAAGTCCCAGGGTATAAATTGGGTAGGCCTAGGCCAGTATATTTAAGAAATGCTCACAAAAAATTAAGGAATTGTCTCCGAATTCTGCCGACTTGAAACTCTTCCAATTGCTTAGAACAGACATTGGTCGCCGTGAAGTTGAATACAAAGCCCATCCTTGTAAATTCTTTTGTTGTTTACTGTCGCTAAAAATACACAGCTCGCTAAACGCGGTCCATCCCTACAGAGACTCGCCCAGTGGGATGATCGGATCGTTAATTCACAGGGGATTCACAGCGTAAAGAAACACATGTTCCACAGCTGCAGATAAAAATAGACAATACAGCAGTTCAACCCTAAAGAGACCCACCCAGAGATTCGCTGCTAAAAACAACTCGTTACATCATGCAAGAGAACAAGTTAAGGCAAAGACTGGCCTAGCGCGAGGTAAGACCAAGATGGCCTACCTAGGCACCTAGGCCTACTAAACTACATTTAAGGTGTTTGATGCTCAAGTAAAGACTGATTTCTTTGCCGGAATATTGTTTTGATAGGCTATTGAATCATAGGGCAATTGTTAAAATGCATCTGCCACCTCACAAAATGATCATCATTTTCGTTCTGTTCATGCACAGGGGTATAATCCCATCCCCAAAATTGGTGGGGGGGTGGGATTATACCTGGGGAACTACGGACTAATATCCCCTTCACCACATTGGCAAGTAGTGGATAATTTTTTGGTGTCTTTGACATCCGAAATCAGGACGATCCTGATTAAATCGGGACGGTTGGCAGGTATGGATGAAAACATTTTTTTGCGAAAAAACCCTATACTGCCACAAGCCGAAGCAACCTTGATTACACGGCGTGTAATGCTGTAAATATGCAGCCATTTCGTTTTGTCAAGTACAGTATTTACTAGTTTTCTATTCATCTGGTCGTCTTCATTAAGTAGGATTTTACCACTGTGCAGGTGGGCGTGGTCTAACGAAGAACGACCAGTCGAATACGGCCTATGACAAGCACTGAATATTATACATGTCTTACCCAAAAATGGCTCCTATTCTCATTGTGTTATTATTGTGCAGAACATAATCGGACAACAAAGCCCTAGCTGGGTCACATTCATTCCTGACTCCTGAGTTGACAATACCACATGCAAGTAAAGCTCCAGACTGAAAAACACAATAAAACAACACAGTACTATATGAATCACAACCTGTAATAAAACCAAAGAATATATAAAGTATTGATGTCTAGAGTGCATGTTTTTGTTTTAAGTAATCAGGTTTGACACATGAAACTAAGGTTTTAATCTATATTTAATTTTGGTTTTGCAGATGCTTACTTCATATTTCTTTCTGGTATTTTCATCAGTTTTGTGGAATGTTGAAGTAGACAGATCTTGTTTATGTTATAAATATCAACCAACTGGATTGGATGTTTTCTGTGTGAGATGCCCCAAGAATAACCCACAAAAATTTGCTTTAAAATGTGCACCCAATCTCTCTTACTGATCAATTTGCAAAACTAGACAAAGGTCTTATTGCTATGTGGATGATGGCAGACTAAGAGCACTACAGTACCTTAATTGCAAAAAATTTGGTAATAAGAAAGGTCTTTACAGTTCACTGCCTAATAGATATTTTACACCAACTCTCCTCAAATTCAGATCAATTGAAATCATTGTCTATCTTATCAGACTTCAATATGACCTGAATATGTCCTCAATGCCCTCAAATTAAACTTAACCCAAGTGTTCTACTACCATGGAAATATGTTTCAGGCATCTTCACCATACCTTTCTAGTTAAATGCACACAGTAATTGGCATTTATGTTCAAAGAGATCTCAAATGGGATACACAATTGAAACAGATGCTAAATAGAGCCAATGGTAAACTCCACATGATACGTATTTAAAAACATCAGAAAGTTCCCCCCACCCAAGACCTTTTCACCATACAATTTCTATGCAAGACCGAGTGTAGAATATCCAGCTCCAGCAATGGAAAATTAGAAAGTATACAAAAACAAGCACTTAAAATGACCTTGGGTGCTTCATATATAAATTATGAGAATACACTTACTTCTTTAACACAGTGACCATAGCCGCAAGATGCCAGCAATTATGTTATGCAAACAAATTGAAAAATCCAGCAGCCCCATGTCTTTACCTCTTGCCAGACCCACCAGATAGATCATACAGCATGAATTTGAGACAGAGGGAGGAAATCCCACAAGTTATGTGTATGACTAACACCACCATACTTTGTTAGACTGATTAATGGAAAGTAATTTAAATATGATTAATGAAGTTGTAAATATTTCACCTTCCTCTGTCTCTGATTGGTGTTGCACGGTCACAAGAGCTGGTATTGATTTACTCAATTAACTTTCTATTATCAATAAGATGTTAATATTGTGAAGTGCGAGATACTAATAGCTCAATGGATTTATTGCGAATACATCTAGCACTAAGAGACAGAACAGTGATTCGCATGTAATTTTGTTGCCTTGGTATTGCTTTTTCAATCTAATTAATTATACTGTATTATTATCACATTCAGATTAATATTATTATCATATAGTCATACATACCTTAATGTAATCTTCTGATGAGTACAGGTACTTATCAATCTGAGTCAAACCACCATCTACATCCCAAAGAAGAATTAATCCAAGGGAGGCTGTTGTGCTCATCATACCTTAAAAAGCACATTTTAAAACAAAGAGAATATCATCAAGGTGTATTATGTATCAGCTGGATCAGATGTGGAGTACCTACTGAAAACCTTCATAAATAGACTTAGGGACAAGATTTTAACAGTTAAGATCCGTGAAATTGTAAGTGTTATTGTTATGGGCATCAGTCTTCGTGCTATTTGAATGTTTCAAAGATCCAATTTGTTTTATTTCATTTTATTTGTTTCAAACTTTATGTTCCTAAGGCCAAATTTCATGTAAATTACATAATATTTCCTCCAATCAATGATAAGCGAAAAGTGACGGGTTTAGCTTGACCACACCACTTAAAGCTAAATATTTACCATGTTCTTTATTTTTGTAAATCCAACTATTGCCATCCTTAGTTATGAGTTTGTCCTGTCCAAAGCCAGCATTTACAAATCCATTGACAAATGAAGATGAAAGATTTTGTCTTGCTGAATCCACTTGTGTTGTTGTCTGTCCAAATGATGACCCTTCAAGTAAACAAAATTTTATATATAT